CTCTTGGAAATTAAAAAGTAAAGCCTTACTTTACTAGTTACTTGAAAAAAGTAATCGGATTACGTAACTCACATTACTTGTAATGCGTTACCCCCAACACTGACCATAAATATACATTATCTGGGCCACACTAAGCCTTAAGTGAGTTATGCATCAACAATACTCAACATTGTAAATAGAAATTAAAAAAAGTTCCAGAAATGTGTCCTACTTGATAAAATCATCCCGACCCAAGTTTTGCATAAGCAGCAACTAAAATGTCACAGATAAATATTCAAAGACACAAGGTGACAGTAAGAGTACAATCATTATAGTGCACTTCTGTTTTTATGTTACGCAGTACACATATATAAAAAAACTACCATTAAAAGCATGTTTCAAAAAATAAATTGCTGCGTATGTAGCCTTCTTAAGACTCACATCCAGATCACCCTGCATCAGTTAACTGTGTTGCATCCTACTAAAAGTAGCCATATTCTATTAGGCCATATTTATAATTTCAAGCTTCCATTTCAATTAGCCAGTGTCAAGTGTTACATCCAAGAAGTGGTCCTCATCTGTTTTATAATATATGGGGCATATTTGCCATGTCAAATGTGGGACAAGCTGGCTTACACACTGATTAGCCAATGCTGACTGTGCCGTATATTTGCCAAAAGTGGCCCAAATTGTTATTAATTATTTGGGCAATATTTGTCATTTTATATGCGGGCCACTTTTGCGGTCACTTTAGGCTCACAGCCACATTAGCCAGTGCTCACTGTTCCATTTCTTTGCCAAAACTGCCCCAGATACGCTTTAGGATAACTGGGCCACAGTTGTGGCATCATATATGGGCCACTTTAGACTCACAGCCACATTAGCCAGTGCTTACCATGCCATATCTTTGCCAAAACTGGCCCAGATATGTTTTAACTGATGGACTGGAGTGCTGTGGATTACTTGTGGATTATTGTGATGTTTTTATCAGCTGTTTGGACTCTCATTCTGACGGCACCCATTCACTGCAGAGCATCCATTGCTGAGAGAGTTTTAAATTTTTGGCTGAACTATTGCTTTAATAGTTTGCAGTTGCTGTATGCAGTGATGAGAGCAGAGACTCTTTCTGTAAATCCGTCCTTCAGAACCTTCAACCAGCGTCTGCAGACTCACAAACAATGACGCACTTCATCCTGAAAACCTCCTGCAGCACCACCATCATCATCCTCATCTTCATCTGAGCGGTGCTCGGTTTGTGTGTTTCTGGATAAAAGCAACTGCTAAATGACTCAATATCTGCTGCATATGAACACGTCTCACCTGCTCTACAGCAGACTCTCTCTCTCTCTCTCTCTCTCTCTATGTCTTTCCATCAGACCTTCATTATGTCAAGCACTCTTCAAATCAGCCGTCTCATATTTACATCTCCAGAGAGAGAGAGAGAGACGGAAGAATTAAGAGCATCTGTCTCACTCACAGGAAGTCCATAGCAGGCTGTTGCCATGGGGACAGATGTCTGTCTGCTCTGACCGCGTGCCACAGCGCAAACTCGCTGTGTGTGTGTGTGTGTGTGTGTCTGTGACGCACACACTGGCCTGCAGAGGGCAAGTTCTGATCCGACTCTGATAGACTGATGTGAACATCGACCGAACTCAAGCTGCACTACAACACACACACACACACTCACACACCTGCAGAAACACACACTAAACACACACCTGCAAACCCACATACATACACACACACAACACACAAACACCCCAGAAACACTTATTCATTGATATTATATACTCTACTTACTACTAATCACAGAACCGCCTTTACTGACGAGATGCACATGACAATCGCATGCGATTAATTGCACAGCCCTAATATATATATGTATATATATATATATGCAATTGCATGCACTGTACATATTGTTGATATTCTAATACTTATAATTAATAACTGCACTTTGCGCTCGCATCATCATTTACTGTTATCTATTA